TTCGCCTTCGCTCCCAGGCCGCTCTCTGTGGCTGTGCGGCCATGCCCCCCGCATGAGGGGGCGGCTTGGACGGCCGTCCCCAGCTCGGCTGCCTGCTCCCCCACCTTCGCCCCGCGACTGGCAGAGAGGTCCACCGTCGATGTCGGGGATGTGCGGGATTGGGAGGAAGATGCGGAAGACGAGGAGGGGGAGGAGGAAGAGGAGGAGAAGGAGGAGCAGGAGAAGCTTGGTTGGCTGTGATCAAGGACCCTTCAGCCATCAGGAACCAGGAACCAGCAGGAGCTTGAACATGACGAGGAAGAGGAGGCGGAGGAGGAGGAGAAGGCGGAGGACGAGGAGGAGGAGAAGGCGGAGGACGACGAGGAGGCGGACGAGGACGAGTCCGATGACGAGAAGGAGGAGGAGGACGAGGAGGAGGAGTTGGAGTTGGAGCTGGAGTTGGAGCTGGAGTTGGAGCCGACTGCGGGCGACTCGAAGCGTCACCGCAGGCGTAGGAAAACCCTCATTGCCCACGTTGGGCGGCGGAGGCTGGGGAAAACATGCCCCCGCGGCGTCCTCGACCCACTTTGTGGGGAGGGCGGGGCAGTCACGACCCAGCCGTGGCGACAAGAAATCACCAGAAGAAAACGCCAGCCGCGGTGACGAGGACACCAGACCCGAGCCCCAGCCGCGGCGACGAGGAAAGCAACAAGCGCGCCCAGCCGCGACGACCGCGCGGGGGCGTTCACACAATGTTTGCCCCTCGGCCTCTAAAACACCACCTAGGAGGAAAGGTGTGACGGGGTCCCCAAGGGGGGAGGGCCCGCCAACAGAGACCCACGAGAGTCGGAGGCTATCCCTTGCCACGCTATCGCGGGGGCAGCCCGCGAGAGACTCGTTCGATCTCTGCGAGCTGCTTCTGCCGCTCCGCGGGTGCCTCTGCAGCTCCTATACAGGGCTTGCGGAGCTTGCGGGCAGTGCGCGGGGCCCGAATTTCAAAGGTTCCCGCACACAGCCTGCAGCAGAGTCGGGTGCCGGCGACAAATATGTCGTGGCCAAGCTGCGCGAAGATGGGCTCAATCACTGGGTGGGCCGCATCTCTGGCCACCTCCTGCTCTTGGCCTGCCTCCTGTGCGGCAGGAAGCTGGTTCCCGCTCGCACTCAGCTGTCGACCACCAGCAGGCTCGTCACCATGCAACCGACGGGCCAGGTCAGTGGCGACGCGAGCCCGCTCATCCAGCAGCGGCTTCCACTCGTCCTTGGTGTCGGCGAAGGAACTGGTGGGCAGCGTACTGCTTCAGCTCACTGGGATGGCAAATCCTCTGCGATCCGCTGCGCAAGGAAGCCAGAGAAGACCAGGACGAGGAGGAGGAGGAGGAGGAGGAGGAGGAGGAGGAGGAGGAGGCCGCGTGCATTTACCCACTTTCAAAGCTGAGCCTCAGTTGCGCCGTTGGCCGCTGGAAAACGCTCTGCAGGCCGATCGGGATGGGTCTGGGGGACTATGGAGGCGCCCGTCTTCCCCTCCCCCCCCCCCCTTTGAAAGGGGGGGGCGTCCAGGGCCGGGGGGGTCCCAGTGTGTCCCGAGAGACGGGGGGGGTCCCGAAGGGCCGGGGGGAGTCCTGAGGGTGGGGAGGTCCCACGAGCCGGGGGGGGGGTCCCACGAGCCGGGGGGGGGACCCAGGGGGTCCCGGGACCCGCGTGTCCCAGAGTACTGGGGGGTCCCATGGACCCAGGACCAGCGCGGTATCGTCCAGCTGGTATCGTCCGGTGCAGAAGCCGCGGCCGGTACGGTATCGTCCAGTACGGTGGCTGTGACCGGCACGGTATCGTCCGGTACGGTAGCGGAGGCCGGTGCGGTATCGATCGGTACGGTTGCCACGACCGATTGGCGCGGTACAGTGCGAGCCGGTGCCGGTTGGCCGTTATCTGGCACGGTTGCGGCCATGGTGTTTTTCCAAACATGGTGCGAAGGGCGACCGGTGGAATCCGTGACACCGACAGGGCCTGAGTGTCACTGACTCGTTTTGGGGGGGCCTGGCCGAAACCCCATCATCTTCGGCAGTTTCGTCATTGCCATCATCGTTGCCGTTACCCACAGCCGTTGGCCCATCCCATGGCCATCGTCCGTCCCGAGTTTCTTCACCGCCTTGGCCTTCCGTACCGGCCCTCCCGATGATGAGGCCATGGAGAGAGCAAGGGCAGTGGTTTCAGTGATCCTGGCTTGCCCCCTGCGAAGATTGCAGCAACGGCCGTGCAGGAGTGCAGACCAGACTGGTCTCCCACATTGTTGACGCCCCTTCGGGGGAGTGGCGGGGACTGCTACTCAGGTGGTACTCCTATGTTGAGCGGGGAGCCGAGGTATCCACCGTAGGGTGCAACACGTAGCACTCGAGCAAGAAGAAGCACACCTGCGGCATATCCGTATGTACAGTCAAGACGCTGAGCCAAGGACCGTTTTGGGCTCAGGAGTGGCTCGGGTTTCCGGGCCGCTCCCTGGATTTCTGTTCGTGGAACCTGTTCGTGGCTCAGGCCCGCCGTGGCCAGAAAAGCCCTCCGTTCCTTATTCTGCGGTCTGCCGCCGTCTGTTCTGTTAGCGTCACACGGGCTTGATGCTGGATCGACGATCACGGCCAACACGGGGTCGCACAGTCCCCACAGCCCCGCTGGATCACGGGGCCACCGCGGGGTCACGTCAGCCCCGCTGGGCTTCCGGGGGCCCCCGAGAGCCGGGGGCCCCCGAGAGGGGTCACGCAACGTGCCCGCCAACGCTGGTGTGTGACTGCTGCAAGTTGGCAACGCGACAGCATGGACGCGGAGGAGGAGGAGGAGGAGGAGGAGGAGGAGGAGGAGGAGGAGGAGGAGGAGGAGGAGAGGAGGAGGAGGAGGAGGAGGAGAGAGGAGGTGGGAGGGAGGAGGAGGAGGGGAGGAGGAGGAGGAGGAGGAGGAGGAGGAGGAGGAGTAGGAGGAGGGGGAGGAGGATACCCACCGCCGCTGGTCGGGCCCCCATCCAAGGGCTCAGCAGCGGTGTATACGCTCCCTTGGCTTGGCCAGGCATGCATATACAGCGCTCCTGGGCCCAGGATTGGCCCGGCCAACAACGGTGGACATGCATGACTCGGGGGGCGCGCAATGGGGGGGCGATTCATGTTAAGTCGGGCGTGTCCCTCTACAGGAGGAACATATTCAGAATAGTAAGAAAATTGTCAGGGGACGAGTTTGTGATTATTTTTGTTGGACCATTTTTGAATACTTTTTGAATCTGTTCTAAATTGTCGTCCAACATCAGCCTGTAGGGGGACACGCCCGACCTAAGAGTAATTGGGGGGCAGCGAGGGCTGCAGAAAAGGAGTGAGGGCCCGAGAAGGGCACCCTTCCTTCCGGGGGCTCCCTGCGCGTCCCGCCTCGTGCCCTTAGGTCTCTCGGGATCCCCGAAGTCTGCCGCTTAGGCTCTCTCGGGATCCCTGCCTCGCGCTGTCTTGTCCCGTCGCCCCCCGCCCCCCGCGTTTACCCAGTCGCGCCCGGTGGCTCTCGTCGCCCTGTCTGCAGCCATTCTGGCTCGGGATCGTTTCGGGGGCTCGGCGCCCCCGCCGCGCGTCCGCGGCGCGGCGCAGCGCAGCCGCCCTCCCGCCCCCCCGCCGATGGGCGGCGCGCGGCGCGCGGCCCTGCTGCTCCTGCTCGCGGCGGCCCCCGGCGGACGCGCGGAGGCCCCCGCCGACGGCGGCTCCGCCGCGGCCACCGCGGCGGCGATGATGCTCCGCCGCCTGGAGTTGCGGGCGAACAGGCAAGTCACTACGGGAGGGTGCCCGTGTTCTCTTCGTGCTTGTTGGATGCTCTTGAAGCGTCCTGGGGAGGGTGCCCTTGAGTGTTCTGTGTGTGTGTGTGTGTGTGTGCGTGTCCTGGCCGACGGAGGCCCAGGTCCGACTGCAAGAGTGGCCTTTCGCTGGAGGGGCCTCTGGTGCGGGCCCAATGTCACCGCCCACCAAACCACCCCAACCCAACCCGAAGGCTCAAATTTACCCTCGATTTCCAGTGGGGGGGGGGGGTCGGGAAACATCGAAAAAACACATGTGGAACCCTTACCCCCCCCAACCCGAAATTCGGGTCTTCGGGTTGGGTTGGGGTGGTTTGGTAGGTGGTCACAATGTGACCCCCCGATCGCTGAGCGCGGAGCGGCAGCAGCGGCTTGCGCGGCCGGATTTGGCCACGAGCCGCGCAACAAAGGTCACTCTTACCCATGGTCGTTCTTACGTGTAGCCGACAAGCCACCCGGCGATGATGCTCCGCCTCCTGGAGTTACAGGGGGACAAGCAAGTTACGACAGCCAGATTGGGGACAAAAGATCGGGGTCGGCTCGGGGAGGATACCCTTGTGTTCCTCTTATGTCTTTGGACGTTATTGTGCATCCTGGGGAGGGTACCCCTGGAGGTACAGGGGGACAAACAACTACCCACCAATCTCGACTAGACGTAAGTGACCTTTCGCTGGAGTGGCCTTTGGTGCGGGCCCAATGTAACCCCCCGATCGCTGAGCACGCAGCGGTAGCAGCGGCTTGCGCGCCTAGATTTGGCCACACGCCGCGCACCAAAGGCCACAAGCCGCGCACAGTCGCTCTTGCGTGTAGCCGACAAACCACCCAGCGATGATGATGCTCCGCCGCCTGGAGTTACGGGGGAACAGACAAATCACTACGGCCGGACCGAGGTATAAGATCGAGGTCGGCTCGGGGATTGTACCCCCATGATCTTCGTGTGGTTCTTGGACGTTCTGGTGCATCCCGGGGAGGAGGGTACCCTCGGATGTTCTGTGTTTTGGCCGGCGGAGGGTCTCATGTTTTTGAGGGATCCCAGAGCATGTTGAAGACACGCAGATGGAACGCATACGCCCCCCAATCCGAAATTTAGGACTCTGGGTTGGGTTAGGGTGGCCTGTCAGGTAGTCACCAATGACACAGGCATACAAACTCGGAGATATTCGTCTGGACCTTCATGTTTTCATGTTCGTGTCGTCGCCTGATCCCCTAGGAGTGGACCTGGGGCGGAGCACCGCTTCGGGGCCTGGCGGCCAACAAGACCAAGACCGTCGAGGAGTCGGCCTCTGGCAAGGATCCGAGGGATACCCCGCGCACGATGACCAAGATGAGGTGCCCCGCTGGCCAGCCCGAGGAGTACGGCGTGCGCAACGGCTTGCCCTGCTGGTTGGACTCGGACTGCTGCTCTGCAGCGTGCATCGTGAACCTGTGCGCCCAACAGCTTGACGTGGGCGAGGTCGAGGCCAACGCGCCAGACACTTATACGCCAGGCGAGCCGGGATCGGAGGGAGCCCAGTGCCGGATCGACTCAGATTGCCAGTCGGGGAGATGCCAGCTGTACCTGTGCTCGGCGCCTGTCACCTGAGTCTAGCGCGGTGCGAGGCTGTCCCACGAAGGGGGGACGGCTGTCTCGCAACACACCCCTCGGACGTGTCCATGTCCCTTGGTATCGCTCGGACGCGTGCATTATCTTCTCGGCGAGGACCATCGAGGAGCATCCAGTATCACCTGGCAACAAAAAGGCCCAGAGAGGCTCCCAGCCGGCGTGGCCGGCGGGCCCGCGGCAGAGCTGCGAGAATGCCGCCGAGGGCGTCGGCAGGGAGCCTCGTCTGTCTACAGAGGCCTCGGAGCCAGGGGATCGGTTTGCAGCCGCGTTTGCGCCGGCATCTGCTTCGGTCGGTGCCAGCATGCCCAGGTCAGGTCGTTCCGCGGTCGGACAGGATCCAAAGAGGCCTGGGGGCGACGATGCATCTGCAGGAATAAACACGCCTGTACGGCACAGCACGCAGCCGCCAGACCGCTGCGCAGTAGCGAAACAGGGCGTTCGGAAGTAGCAGAGGTCGGCGCTCTTTTCTTCCAGTAGCATCGTCCATCATTTGTTCTCGAGGAGCTGACGGGAGTTTCAACATCCACGCTTTGCCTTCCCCCGTATCATTACAGACTTATGAGCGGGCTCCGTTCTTATTAACGTTCGCGACTCTGGTGCCGCATTGTCGGAAGATGCGCCGCTGGGCAACGGGAGCTGTGCAAATACTGTGCCAGCAAGTGCCCAGCATGTTCATTGGCATCGCTCGGACGAGTGCGTTTTTCTCGGCGGGGACCATCGGGAAGCATCCTGGATCATCGAGCAACAATCACGCACGAAACCGAACAATGCACGGGGAATGGATGCCCGAGCGATGGCAAGGTGCGCGGCGTCCAGGTTTCTTTTGAGACTCTGGGGGGATGCCCTGCCATCGCCACGAACGGACCTCTTGAGGAGTGCCTCAATGACCAGATCCACAAAGCGTTGATGCAGCACTTGCACACGGCACTTCGAATGCTAATCCAGCCCTTGTCCAGCAACATACAAGAGACATCGTACGTTGGGTGCATTTCACATCGTAAGTGCGCCCAGCGATGTTGCAACAAGCTTCGAAGAAACGATGGGAGGAAGAGAAGGTTTGTCGTTATCTGCTCGTTCGCTCACTCCCTCGACAAGGTGAGCGCGCGTACTCCATGCCCTTGCGGGCTTACTATAGTTGCCCATTTTCTTTCATATTCTGCGCTCGCCGAGATTTAATGTGTTTGCCACTTCACCCAAGTCAGGCCTCATACTTTCACGAAGCCGCCTCCTCCTCTGTGTGTGCGTGCGTGCGAGCGTGCGTGAGTGCGCGTGTGTGTGTGTGTGGTGTGTGTGCGTGCGTGCGTGTGTGTGTGTGTGTCTGTCTGTCTGTCTGTCTGTCTGTCTGTCTGTCTGTCTGTGTGTGTGTGTGTGTGTGTCTGTGTCTGTGTGTGTGTGTGTCTGTCTGTGTGTGTCTGTGTGTGCGCGTGTGTGTGTGTCTGTATGTGTGTGTGTGTGTCTGTGTGTGTGCGTGTGTCTGTGCGTGTGTGTGTGTCTGTGTTTGTGTGTCTGTGCGTGTGTCTGTGTGTGTTTTCGCCGCACCGTCCCTTCGCAGTTCCCGCGCGCCTGACTCCGCCGCGTCGCTGCGCGCGTGGCCGCGAAGCCAAGACGTGTGCGTGTGTGTGTGTGTGTGTGGCTTCCTTGTCCGCCGCAGCCTGGCCGCGGCAGTGCCCCGCCACTGCCATAGGAGGGCCCTCGCGCGCGCGCGCGCGTGTGTGTGTGTGTGTGTGTGTGTGTGTGTGTGTGTGTGTGTGTGCGTCCCCTGTTGCCTATCCGCCCGAGCAGTCGACCTCTGCCCAGCCGCCGACGCGCAAAGTGTGTGCGCGCGCGCGTGGTCTTTCCTCCTGCCCGCTTGCTGGTGCGTCCAGACCAGGGTAGCGCTGGCTCGCGTTGGCTCCAGCGCACGGTCGCCGCCAGGGCGGGGGCCCTCCCCCCTTGTTTCGGCCTGCCCCCGCCCGCCCTCGGGGGGCATGGCCACCTCGCACCGCTGGCGCTCGCACGCCGGACCCGGCCAGAGGGCTGGCCGCAGAGGGCCAGGTCTCGACCTGAACGGTGTTTTGGCGATTCGGTTTGCAGCATACGCGCCTCCGCGTTCCTCCGACGGCTGGGACGGTGCAGCCTCTTGGCAGAGATGGGGTTTTGCCTGGGATTGACTGGGGTTCGGCCAACACCTGCACTGGCCGCGCCCCTCCGTTTGCCTGCTGCGGGCCCTTGCTGCGCACCTGTGGCCCCCCTTGCGGGCCGCGGGCCAGTTGGGCGGCAACGATCTGGCTTGGCGGCATGTGCGGCGCCGTTTGGACCACTGGCCCGCTTCCACACTCTTCCAGGGCACCGCCTGCACGGGGCTTTGGCGAGGTTTTTTAGTTATTTTCCCTCCTCCCGCGGCCGCCCCAAACAATTCGCAATGCCGTCACCTGGCTTGCCCGAGCGCGCGTGCGGACTGCCTCTGCCGCGCTGCGACGTACAAAGTGTTTTGGCGAGGCTCCGACGCGTCTGGCTGCGCACCTCGGGTCGGCTTATTTTTGCGGACAATCTGCGCGGGCTGGTGCCCGAGCCGCCGCTCTCGCGGGCAAGTTTCTTGTGTTTTCGGCCGCTTGGCATCGCTCGGACGTGTGCACTTGTCGTCGGCGAGGACCATCGACATACGCGCACGAAGCCGAAACATGCACGGGGAATGGACGTCAGGGCCATGGCGAGGCCGCGACTGCAAACCTGACGGGGTGCAGCATGTCGCCTACTGCCCAGTGGTGCGCCGGCTGCTGGCCTCAGCCGCCGGGCTGGCGCCGCCGCCAGCGGGGCGGCAATCGGAGTCGTTCTTCGGCTTAGGAGGAGGAGGAGGAAGAGGAGGAGGAGGAGGAGGAGGAGGAATGTGGATAGCATCGAGAGGAGCAGAGCGTTGTAGGTTCTGGGCCGGGTCCGCAGCTCGATGCGGTACGGGCGCACCAACAATGAGCAGTTGGACGGCGCTTTCCGGGGACCGGCATTTCGTTCCCCTTCGTTCCCTCGCTTCTCCTCCCTCCTATTCTCGGGGCTGGACAGAACCCCCAACAGTGACACGTCGATTAGTGAATTGTCCGTTTTCGGTTCTCGAGAGGGCGCCGTGGCCGTCATTTTCCAGGCTTGCGCCCGCCAGGTTCGGGCCTCAGGTCGTTTTCACTAAACCACGTTTTGCTAAAGGGGGGTCTGTCCATCCCCGATATTCCCTCCCTCCGAACTATTCCCTCCCGCCTTTGCAGGGCCTCTGCCTGAGCTTCATGCTGCACGCAAGTCTATTCCCACGGCGCTTCCGCAGTGAGTTTGTGGCGCCGCTCGTGGTCATTCACGGCAGGCGTCCGCGTGGGGCACGGTCTCATTCTTTCTCTCGTCCTTCCTCTTGCTTTCTCCTCCTCCTCCTCCTCCTCCTCCCCCCCCCCCCCCTCCTCCTCCTCCTCCTCCTCCTTCTCCTCCACCTCCTCCTCCTCCTCCTCCTTCTCCGCCTCCTCCTCCTCCTCCCCCTCCTTCTCCTCCTCCTCCTCCTCCTCCTCCTCCTCCTCCTCCCCCTCCTCCACGAATTTGCCTGTTTCAGGTCGGCTTGTGTGGCGTCTGGGGTTTCTCGGGCTTGCAACTTGGGTATGTAGATAGCCGCGGCGCCGATTTTAGTCTTTTTCCCCGAATGTGCAGGACATCCTGAGGGAAGGCCAGACTTCGAGCAGCCGTCCGTCGGCCCAAGCCCGACGTTCGCTGTTACTGTGCGTTTCCTCAGCACTGGCGAGAATATGTCCCACACGTTTGGTGAGGAAGAGAACGGCTTTCACATGCAACCGTTTTTTCGCTCGTGCCGTATCTCGCTGGCCTCACCCCGATGCCTGTTAACTTAGCCCTCGGCGCGTGGTGGCATCCACGTTTTGGCGCCAGCGGTGGAAGCACGGTGTCCGCTCCCAGAATCTCCCTCTAAAGGGTTCCCGTGCCCCACTTGGGGCCAGGGTGTCTGTGCGAGGCCACCCGGCTGTGGGTCTCTGGGGCCGGTCTGGCGCCCAGTCACGCACGTGGCCCGCGCTGGTTCTCTTCGGCCGCGGTGCCCAGCGCCGACGCCTGGCCACTCGAAAGTCCTTCTTTCTCACTCCTTCATGCGGCTGGCGCCAGCGTCGGCTGTTGACAGTGTCGGCCCTCGTCCAGGTGTGCCCCTAACCTCCCTTAGGAGGTGAGGGTCACTTGGCTCCAAAAGGGACCCTTGACGGGCGATGACAAAAGGTCGTCACGGGGCGCTTTCGCTCGCCTTTCGAAGTCTCAAATGCAGCGCCGCGGTCTCAGAAGTCCCTGTCGCCGGCGTCCTTTCAGGAAGCGCATCAGAGGGGCTGCCCGCCCAAGGGGTCTTTGTGTCGAAGTCGTGCCTCTCTTGGCGCCCCCCGACACACCGCGGGCCCTCCGCCTCTCTCCTGCTTTGTTTTGTTTCTGGCCTTGGCGCGCTTCCCTTTGTGAGCGTGGGCAGCGCCACGAGCAATGGGACGGCCCCAACGCTGGCACGGTCCGTGCTGGCACGATCGCTGCACTCCGCTTCGGGGAGCCTGGCCAGTGGCCTGTCGCCACCCCGCTCCGTCGTCTCTGCCTGGGCTCCTTTTTCTCTGCGCCTGGTCGGCGCGCCCTTGCAGTCGGGCAGCGATGACCTCAGCCTTTCGCACGCTTTGCGCTCAGAGCACACACACACACACGCACACACGCACACACGCGCACACGCGCACACACACACGCAAACGCACACGCACACGCACACGCTCATGCGCACGCTCATGCGCACCATACGCACACGCACACGCACACGCACACGCACACGCACACGCACACGCACACGCGCACGCGCACGCGCACGCGCACGCGCACGCACATGCACGCACACACGCACGCATGCACGCACGCACGCACCACGCACCCGCGCACCACGCACGCACGCACGCACGCGTACGCGCACGCACGCACGCACGCAGGCACGCACGCACCCGCACGCACGCACGCACGCACGCACGCGCACGCACGCACGCACGCATGCACGCACGCACGCACCACGCACCCGCGCACCACGCACGCACGCGCACGCACGCGCACGCACGCGCACGCACGCACGCACGCACGCACGCACTCAGACACGAACGCCCGCGTACACACAAACACACACACACACACACGCACACACACATACACATACACACACTCACATACACACAAATACACACACATGCAACACACAAATACACACATACACACTCACATACACACACACACACACCGTACGCCGCCTTCTTTCGGTCCCTGCCCGCCTGTCAGCCAGGTGAGCGACGGAAAAAATCGTGGTCGTCTGCGCCGACATTGGCGCGTAATTAAGCTGTCCGCGTAATGTCGCGCGTGAGCGCCCTCGTTTCCATTGTGGCGTGCCGCGCCAGCGGCCCGCATAAGCCACCGCGTAAGGTCGTTGTGCCATCTTGCGTGAGACCCCTTGCTTGTCGTCGCTCAGGTGACGTTCGGCCCTTATTCCTTCAGCTTGCATGGCTGGAGGTCTAAGCTTAAGGTCGGTTCGGGGAGGGTACCCTAATGTTCTTCGTGTGTTGTTGGATGGTCTTGTGCATCCTGGGGGAGGGTACCCTGGAGTGTTCTTTAGTTTGGCCGGCGGAGGGTCTCATGTTCTTGCAGGGCGTTCTTATGTATTGATCCGGCCGTCCCATGGCCTCGGTCACGAGACCTTCCCAGATTTCACGGCCCCCCTTCTCCTTTCAGCACGTCTCCTGTTCCCCCAGTGCCAGGCGCGGAGGGACGAGTCCGACGCCCCCGGCTGCGGAGGGGAAGGCGGCTGTCTACACTTGGGGGCCCCCAGGCAGTGTTGTGACCACGCCGTGCGAGGCGCACCGTTTCGGGACTTCGGCTGTTCTCCGAGGATGCTCCCCTCGCGCGCGAGCGCGCGCACGCGCCTCGGGCCACGATGCGCTGGCCCCCCGTCCTCGGGCGACGGAATCTACACTGCCCCCTGGCCGGGCCCTCCCTGGGCCCAGGGAGCTGTGCACACTCCCTCCTGGCCAAGGCAGGAGGGCGTGGCGTATGCACCGCTGCTGGGCTTAGGATTTAACCTCGGTTCGTCGCCCTGCCTCCTGGCCCCCGCCCACTGCGGCGCTTCGTCCCCCCCCCCCCGCCGACACCGGAGGAGCTATGATACGCAGCCGCCCGTGTCGGGGATGGCGTGCTGCACGAGCCGCGGCAAGCCGAAGGCGGCGAGGGGGGGGAGTACAGTCGAGACGCTGAGATACGTTTCGTGGAAGAAGCAGTGAAACAGACATAGAAGCTCGGAGGTCCGCGCGGATTCCTCGGATCGGTGCTGGGCCCCTTGGCGGCGCCTCCAGCGCCGCTCCTGGCGCGCTCCGCGCGCCAGGGAGGGGGTCCAGCGTCGAACCCAGAAAATTCGCGCCGACCTATCGATATTTAAGTTTATGTCATGGCTCGTTCCCAGTTCCCCTTCGGGTGACCCAGCGCTGGCCCCGGACCGGCAGGACAGGGGGAGGAAGGGCCCCCTCTCGTCGCCATGGCTGGACGTGGCTACAACAAAAACCATGCGGTTTCGCCCCCACGAGGGTCTGGGAACAGACGTTTTGCGGAGTTGCCCTCGTCCGCCCCATCGTCGGACGGGGCCAGGACGAAGACAAAGCCGTTCCAGAGCGTTGCGGAACGCTCTCAGAGCGCTCCAGAACGCTCTCAGAAGGAAGGCCGCGGCTCCCGAGACGTCCTCCAGAGCCGCCAGATCTCGGAGAGTCTCGATTTTTATCCTCGCCCGAACTGATCCTCGAGTGTCTTCCTCTTACCTCTTGCTCGATTTTCTCGGGGCCCATCTCGCGCAGGCTCCCTGCCGCCTCCAAGGCACAGGCACGCCGCACAGCAAGGATGGGCAACCTTCCCAGGGGTACCCTTGCATTTTTGCCTCCTCGGTGCATCCTTCGCCACTCTCGTGGGCCACGCCCCGCTCGAAGAGCTTCGAGGTGGACGTTCAAGGCGCCTGCATCCCCTATCGCGCGTCCTCATGATACGGTAGAAGGAAACAATTCGTGGACACTCCCCCGCCCCCCCCCAGACTCAAAGTTGGCACGCGCGGGGAAGACTGCGGCCGAAGTGCCGCTCATGCAACCCACCGCCAGTTTTGATCATTGGGGGGGGGGACGCATCGACAGATGAATGCGGCACGAGTGTTCGCTGATTTCTTCCGCGGCCTGCACGGGGCGAGTGTTCCTCTTGCTTCATGATGTTCCAACCTGCCTTTAGCCTTGACCACCCGAAAGAACTTCGAGCACCAAGAACGTACCGAAAAGCTTGAGGGTCTGCACGTGTCGGGCCCTGGGAGGCGATGCTCGCTCCACACCGCTGCGATTTGTTTTTGGGTGCTCGAGATTCGTTCTGGGATGTGGCCCTGAAGTACGATGGGAGCAACATAGCTCTTGCTCGATTTTCTCGGGCCCATCTTGCGCAGACCCCCTGCCGCCTCCAAAAGTCAGGAGGGAAAAAGACAAACAGACATAATTATTCGTCGATCCCCCAGAATATATATATATATATATATATATGTATGTATGTATGTATGTATGTATGTATGTATGTATGTATGTATGTATGTATGTATGTATGTATGTATGTATGTATGTATGTATGTATGTGTATATGTATGAAAATATGGGAAGTAGGGGGGAAGACAAACACCAAGGAGATATGGAAAACTACGGGGAATCCTGCTACTTGTGTCTATTCACTTGTGTGTCCCAGGGCCCCTTCAAAAAGGCAGCCTCGACGTTCGGGCCGCTCTCTCCGGGGCGGAGCCTGCTCGTGGCCGCGGTCCTCGCCGTGTGGCCCCTTGGAGGGCCCTCCTGGAGCCGGCGCTCCCCACAGAGGAGGAGACCCATGCCCTGCTTGCCTTAAGTCGGGCATGGCCCTCTACAGGAGGAAGCTTCGAAAATAGTTTGAAAAATAGTCTGGGAACCCTTTTGTTTGTTTGTTTTTGAGCAGACTATGTTTCACTATTTTTCCATATGTTGGGGGTCCTTATTTTTAATTTTCGTTCCGAACCGCCCGTAGGATGACACGCCCGACCTAATGCTTGCCTCCAGGGTGCCATGGATTCGTTGCGTTCCGATGGCTCTGCGATATGGAAAGAGCGTGCACCAGAAATCAACGCACGCCCTGGGGTTAAGTCGAGCCTGTCCCTCTACAGGAGGAAAAGTCAAAAATAGTTAAAAACATAGTCTGGGGACGATCTTTCGACTATTTTTGAGCATTTGGGAGTATTCTTTTTCCCAACCATCCTGTGGTGTTGGGTCCTCGTTTTGAAGAGACGTCGCCCCGCGTTCTCCTCTCCTCCTCTCCTCTCCTCTCCTCCTCCCCCTCCTCCCTCCTCCCTCCTCACAGCATCATCATCGTCATCATCATCCATTTTGGCACACCCCTCACACGTTTCGTGGCCCCATAGGGAGCTCCGCCGAAGGCCCCAGTGCTGCCGCCCGCATGCGTCACCGCACACCCAATCCGGCACACTCCTCACACTCTTCGTGACCACAAAGGGAGCCCCACCGAAGGCCCCAGTGCTGCCGCCCGCATGCGTCACGCACACCCAATTCGGCACACCCCTCACACGTTTCGTGGCCCCATAGGGAGCCCCACCAAAGGCCCCAGTGCTGCCGCCCGCATGCGTCACGCACACCCAATTCGCCACACCCCTCACACGTTTCGTGTCCCCATGGGGAACCCCACCGAAGGCCCCAATTCTGCCGCCCGCATGCGTCACGCACACCCAATTCGGCACACCCCTCACACGCTTCGTGACCCCATAGGGAGCCCCACCGAAGGCCCCAGTGCTGCCGCCCGCATGCGTCACGCACACCCAATTCGGCACACCCCTCACACGTTTCGTGGCCCCATAGGGAGCCCCCACCGAAGGCCCCAGTGCTGCCGCCCGCATGCGTCACGCACACCCAATTCGGCACACCCCTCACACGTTTCGTGGCCCCATAGGGAGCCCCACCGAAGGCCCCAGTGCTGCCGCCCGCATGCGTCCCGCACACCCAATTCGGCACACCCCTCACACGTTTCGTGGCCCCATAGGGAGCCCCACCGAAGGCCCCAGTGCTGCCGCCCGCATGCGTCCCGCACACCCAATTCGGCACACCCCTCACACGTTTCGTGGCCCCATAGGGAGCCCCACCGAAGGCCCCAGTGCTGCCGCCCGCATGCGTCACGCACACCCAATTCGGCACACCCCTCACACGTTTCGTGGCCCCATAGGGAGCCCCACCGAAGGCCCCAGTGCTGCCGCCCGCATGCGTCACGCACACCCAATTTGGCACACCCCCTCACACGTTTCGTGGCCCCACAGGGAGCCCCACCGAAGGCCGCAGTGCTGCCGCCCGCATGCGTCACGCACAATCAATTTGGCACACCCTCACACGTTTCGTGGCCCCATAGGGAGCTCCACCGACGGCCTCAGTGCTGCCGCCCGCATGCGTCCCTCAAACCCAATTCGGCACACGTTTCGTGGCCCCACAGGGAGCCCCACCGAAGGCCCCAGTGCTGCCGCCCGCATGCGTCCCGCACACCGAATTCGGCACACCCCTCACACGTTTCGTGGCCCCATAGGAAGCTCCACCGAAGGCCGCAGTGCTGCCGCCCGCATGCGTCACGCACAATCAATTTGGCACACCCTTCACACGTTTCGTGGCCCCATAGGGAGCTCCACCGAAAGCCCCAGCGGCGGCGCTCACATGCGCATGCGTCCCGCACATCCATTTCGGCACATCCCTCACAAGTTTCGTGGCCCCATCATCCACCGGAGGCCCCAGTGGCGGCGCTCACATGCGTCACCCACACCCACCTTATCCGGCACACCCCTCACACGTTTCGTGGCCCCATAGGGAGCTCCACCGAAGGCCCCAGCGGCCGCGCTCACATGCGTCCCCGCCACCCACCCCAGCACGCCCCTCACAACAACAGGTTTCGTGGCCCCATAGGGAGCTTCACCGAAGGCCCCAGTGGCACCGCCCGCATGCGTCACCACCCGCACCCAATTCGGCACACTCCTCACACGTTTCGTGGCCCCATAGGGAGCTCCGCCGAAGGCCCCAGTGGCGGCGCTCACATGCGTCCCCGCCATACATCTCAGTACACCCCTCACGCGCTTCGTGGCCCCTTAGGGAGCTCACCGAAGGCCTCAGTGGCGGCGCTTACATGCGTCTCTGCCACCCATCCCGGCACGCCCCCCGCAGCAGCATCATGTTTCGGGGACCCCTAGGGAGCTCCTTTGGAGGCCCCGGTGGCGGCCCTCACATGCGTTTCCGCCCCCGCGCGTGTTTCATGTCCCCATCGGGAGCCCCACCGAATGCCCCAGTGGCCCACCATCTCGGAACACCCCTGACACGCTCCGTGGTCCTATGGGGAGTTCCACTGAAGATGAAACCCGCAGCTGCGGTACTGACAACTGCATATGGTTGGGTTCTTCGCCAGGCTAATTTTTTTCTCCTCCAAAATCCCCCTGCGGGGGGACATGCCCGACCTAACCCTGGGGTCTCGGGGCGGGGGTCTCCTGCGGGAGGTTTCTCGTGGTCGAGCTCCTGCTGTGGCGCGCGAGGCCTGCAGGCTCAGCTCTCCCCGGCGATGTGCTTATGCAGTCCCGGCGTTTGTCGCGCGGACTTCCAGCCCCTGGGCCCGGGAGAAAAACACCGAAACCAAGATTTAAGAACACCGAAATCGAGATTTCGGTTTTCTTCTAAACCCCCATCAAAAACATCGAAATCTCGCTTTCGGTTCCAGACACCGAAATCGAGATTTCGGTGTTTCTGATTGGGGACCTCCTCCTCCTCCACGTCCTCATCTGTTCCTTCTTCCTTTCCTTTCCTCTTGCTTCTTTCCTCTCCGTTTCCTTCGTTCCTCTCCGTTTCCCTCTTTCCTCTCCGTTTCCTAATTTCCTCTCCGTTTCCTACTTTCCTCTCCGTTTCCTTCTTTCCTCTGCGTTTCCTTGTTTCCTCTCCGTTTCCTTCTTTCCTCTCCGTTTCCTTCTTTCCTCTCCGTGTTTTTCTTTCCTCTCCGTTTCCTTGTTTCCTCTCCGTTTCCTTGTTTCCTCTCCGTTTCCTTCTTCCCTCTCCGTTTCTTTCTTTCCTCTCCGTTTCCTTCTTTCCTCTCCGTTTCCTTCTTTCCTCTCCGTGTTCTTCTTTCCTCTCCGTTTCCTTCATTCCTCTCCGCT